TGACCAAAAAGAATTTTACTCTCAGGGAAATGTCCAAATCATGACATCTTTAATTGTAATGGAAAATAAACATTTATCATATGTACTCCATTTTTATCAATTCTAGACAACAATAGAAAGACTGGATGGTATAAACTGAGGAGACAATGTTTTCCTTTCATTTATGCTTCTACACCTACCTCGATTCTTTTTCTCTCCATTGTTAAGTGCTTTCCCTTAATTCACTTACTGTCAGTATTTTACCTTATCTGCTGTCAGTATTTGAGAGAATGCACAGCTCCTGTCTTTGGGAAACACTTTCTGACCTTGGCTTCTGTGAGAACATCCCTTGTGTATTTCTCACATCACTTTCACTCCTCTTCACATGTTCAATGTCTAAATATTTTATGTGCCAAAATTCAGCTCATTTGTTTTATACCCTTTTCCTTTGGTGATTTCCTAAAACTATCGGTAATCATCTATGCTGGGGTAACACACATGAAAGGATCAATAATTATAATAAATACAAGAGTACTATATCTACTTGAATCAAATTGATGGGTACCTAGAGCAGACTCTATGTCTGAAAAGCACGGTGCATGTGATTGGGCACAACATCCACATCATGTTTGCATCTTCGCTGTTGTTTTTTAAACTGCCCATAAACAAGCAAATGTTGTTTTCTAATTTATCTTTAAATGAAAGCAATCAGTTAAGGTCTCCTACATCTCATCTTTTTCTACATTTAATCCATTTTAGAAATTTACTCCTTTGGTGGAGAAAGAATTGTGAGCTGAGCCAGAAACTCAGTGCTCAATCTATTTTTCAGGAAAGTATTAAAATCTGGAGGAATGAGGTTTTTTGGATCATAGAACAAAACTGCACTCTCACTATTTAAAAGTCCACTTTATATGCTTCAATTTTGTAACTTGAGCAACTATTTCTAGGATGAGAATATGTAATCTATTAACTAGTGATTTCTTACTGTTTATTTTTTAAATTTTGTGTTACTTGTACCCTTTTTGTTTTTTTCTTTTTCTCCTTAAATAAAAAAAAAATTTAAAAAATAAATTAAAAAAAATCTGGAGGAATGAAAAAAAAAAGCCTCAATAAGAGTTAGAATAGTGATTTGCAGGTCTTCTGTGTTTTTCCTTTGTGTTTTGTGTTTTGTATTTTTTTTTTTTTTCCCTGAAATTGAAGTTGTCTTCTCTTGGTTATGCCGAGTTAATCTGAATTCACTTTCTCTTGTCTGGAAACATGATCTCCATGAATGTGTTCAGGACCTACTTCTAGAGCCTCAACATGTTTCTTGTGAACAGTGAATTCTCTCTGACATTTTGTTCAAAGGCAAAGAATTTTGTTGCATACCTGTAATCCCAGCGCTGGAGAGGCTGAAGCAGAGAACTGCAGTTTTGAGCCCAGTCTCAAAGTAAAAAAAAAAAAAAAAAAAAAAAAAAAAAAAAAAAAAAAAAAGGGCTGGGAATGTAGCACAGTGAATAGCCCTGGTTCAATGCCCAATCATAAACAAAAATGCAGAGCCACGAAGAGAAACTATTTGTTGTTGTTGTCATCTCCAAATCAAAAACCCCTGCATAGCTTTCATGAGGATTTGAATTCAATCCTCAATGCAGAAAAAAAAGTTTCAGAAAATACAAAAAGGTAGAGTAAGTAGAAATACTGTGTGGCATTAGATGATTGGAGTTGTAGGAAATCATGGAGACATTCTTTCTCCAATTCCCCCTTTTTATCAATGCAAAAATACTGCCAACTATGAATTGTTACAATAGATTAAATGTAGTTAGATGAAAAGTTAATGTCCTTTATGCATCTTCCTTTTAAGCTGAAGGTTCCATAAAGGCAAGGTTTAGATCATATTTTTAGTATTTTACATGGTGTACAGTAGTTTGAAAATAAAATGAATAAATAAAATAGGGGATGGTAATTTTTCAAGGTCTCAGTGATTAATAAAGGAAACCAGTCATGTTGAGCTCTAGCTGATTCTAAATGTTCATACTCTTAGAATTTTTGAAATGAAACACAAAGAAGTAGTTTGGTGTCCACATAAACTCTACCTAAAAGCTTGGGTTTTAGCCAACCAGTTACGTTGTAATATTTACTTATTAACTGCAAAGAAAATTCACGGAAATTATTCTTATAAAAATATTCATAACACAAATTTCAGATTTAAAAGCATGGAAATTAAATAAGAATTGTTCCATGTGAAGATGTTATTTCTTACAGAGAAATTTTAGTATGACTAATAAACATTTCATCACTCAGTATTACCTGAACTCCAGTGCATGTAGCCTTTGCTTTTAAACAAAATTTGTGTTCACAATAATTCTACAGAAGATGCATCAAGTCTGTTCTATGATTTCAGCTTTGCAAAATCAAGAACTTTGAGTTTTAAAGAATAGCATTATGAAATAATTTCCTTGGTTCTGTTGCCTACATGTATAAAGAATCTCTTTGAGTACCTCAGAATGGCCTTAGAGATAGTGGTAAGCTCGTTAAGTATTGGTTCATTGTCATTTTATACTTCCAAATAATCTCTTAGCTCTATGCATTCATCTTTCTGGAAAAATGATAGAGATATAAATTTCCATATTGACTATCAATACAACCATCAACTACATTCTTTAATTGCAAATATTGCATGAAACAAATTTTCAAAATGTGATTCTGTTCTATCTCAAAGAAAAATCTTAAATTAAATAACATCAGAAATTGTAATTGTTAGCCAAAAAAGTACAAAATATTTATTCAACCACAATGTTTCCTTTCATATATAGCTGGTTCTTTGAAATGGTAATATTCAGCAGTAAAATGAATATATTTAAGAACTTTTATTTCAAACAAAAGAAGAATATCAAAACAAAATTATTTTTGGCTTTCTCTAAAACAACATATTGTGAAGAAAAGAGCAGTGTTTTGATCATCTAGTTTCCTTCCTTTTGATAAAATCCCAAGAAAATAAATTTATAATTCATAACTCCTTAGAAGCTAAGAAATAACATAATAGAGGTTGGAGGAAGAGAGAATAAGAGACTTTTCAGTCCCTGCTGTAGTCATTCAAAAAAGCAAATGAACTTAAATATTCTAGCAGTGCACTGTTGCAGAGATCAAATACAACACAACAAGGTAGGAATGGCTACATTTGCTTGTTGCAAGCATTATATACTGTAAAAGAACATATGCTGTGCAACCTCTCTCTCTCTCTCTCTCTCTCTCTCTCTCTCTCTCTCTCTCTGTCTCTGTCTCTCTCTTTCTTTATCCCTCTCTCTGTTTCTCTCTCTCTGTCTCTCTCTCTTTCTGTGTCTCTCTGTCTCTATCTCTGTCTCTCTATCTGTCTCTCTCTCTCTCTCTGCCTCTCTCCCTCTCTCTCCCTCTCTGTGTATCTCAGTTGAAAAAGTCAATTTTGTAATCCAGGACTTCTCTTTTCAGGAAGACAATAAATCCGTATTAAAATACTATCAGGATCCAGGGTCATTTACTCATGCCTTATTCACATTTCAGAAAAAATTTCACCCTCTGCTGAAGTACTTCTAAAGGACAGAATCACACAAACGTAATTTAGCTTCATGTATAATTTCTGTGTTCTTCCCTGTAGAAAAAACTGTAGGGTAGAAATTCTAATAATAATGAGTTATCAAATGAGAAAAACAGTAATATGTTTTCAAATTTTCATTCATTAGCATATATATAATTGTAAATCATTGTCATAGTAATTTCTTAATTTGAATGCCACACATATAAAAGATTGAATATATTCTTGCAAATAAGTATCTTCTTTAGAATTATGTTAATTCCCTGTTTTATTCCTTATCTCATTTTTTCCAACATAGTTCAATTATTTTTTCCATTTTAATTGTATATCTATTTCACCAGTTCTTATCTAGTATAGTATTTAAAAATATGAAGATAGCAATTTTAGCAACATTTTGTTAGCTCCAAAAGAAATGAGTTTCCCTGACTTAGGAAAATCTTATCAAAATCACAAAATATGGCTTCATCATAAACTTTTGCAAAACTATGGTAAGGAATTTTGCATGGAATGAAACATTTCTCCTGATGCTAAATTAGATTCTACTACTGTCTCATGACAAGCCTATAAAGAACACACTCACATGTTATTTGAATATTGAAACAGGTTTCATGGTGTTGGATATTTTAAAGCCACATACAGTTACATAAAAAAGAAAAGGTAAGATTAGAACCAAGAGCCTGAATTTCTCTAAGAGTTAGAGAAACAATTGAGACCAGTCCTCTCACCTGCAATGTGACTAAGGCACAAATCCAAGGGAATGAAATGCTTTCCCACAGAGAACGCAGTCAGGTGATAACTGCATTTTATCAGATGACCCTATATTTCTGGTAATCTCCTGTGAGTCTTTGGCTTATTTTCTACCATCACTCACTTTTGAAAAAAATATTGGCATGTTTCTAGAGAACTGATTTCTGGCATTAACCTACTTTATCATTGGCACTACTTATTCTAATGTAAGCTTTTCTGAAAGTCCCAGTAACTTCCATGTTACAAAAATATCAATGGTTGAGTAACTATTTCTTCATAAGTGCCTTGCTGGGCCTCCAGAATGGCTTTTGATGCCTACATTCATGTGGGAGGATAGAAAGCATGAAGAATGATTCCATTCAATTCTAAACAGTGTGTTAGGAAACAAAGACTTTCTTTACCTCAGCCCTTCCAATTGTCACATAGAATACCTTACTAGATTTATGCCTTCTACATGTTCATAGGAAACATTGTTGTTTCCTGATGAAACAGCCTGTAACCACTATAACATCTATAAAATCAACAGTGTAGAAAGAAATAAATTCCTTATTTGGTTTATTCAAGTCTAAGGAAAGAGCATGTATCCACACTGGTCCCAGGGTTGTTGCAGAAAATATATCCATGTGGATACCTCACACTCCTGTACTCAGAAAGTAGCTGCGGAAGCTACAGTTTCGGCTACACATGAATAACAAGTAATAAAGTAGTGAACACTTGGCTGACTTACCCTTGAGTTAACCACTTCCAGGGAGACGTTCTGAGGTGGAGCGCTTGGCACTGAAAGGAATTAAACAAGATGTGATGGTTACTGCCAAAGTCTTGAAAAGGAAACTGTATTGAAAAGCAAAAATGGGTGCTTTCCATAAAGACAGGTAGATTAGTAGAAGGGGAGGGGTCTTCAAGATTTTCCTGGAGAGATTAGAAATAATCACATTTGTCCAGTTTTACTCAATCAGTGGAACAGCCACCAGTGGAATAAGCCGCCAAAACTGTTAGGCAAAAGAGCACCTGCTGGATGCAAAATAATGCCACTAAATTTCAGCTTATTCTTGCTATCCTGCTTGGAAAGCCAATGAAAACAAGGCGATTTCCAAAAGTGGCCTCAAAGCCTTAAGATATATATATATATATATATATTAGGATCTGCAAGTTTCATGGTGAAATATATCACTCTAAGGATCATCTGAGTTGCTCAATCTCTTTAATCACTATTATCTCTTGAAAAATGAAGGAAGAAATGATTCTTATTTTTTAGCTATAAATAATTTAACCTGTGCATCATAATTGCAAGCATTACCAACTAGCCAAAGCTAGGTAATTCTATTAACAAAAGACTTTTCTTTGTATATTTTATAGGTATTTCATTACTCTTACCTGCATTTCAATTTTCCTAATCCTTTGTGGAAGAAAGAACATATACAACTTTTTAAATGCTTATGATAGAAAAAGTGAATACTGTGTCATTCAAAGACATTCTTCATGTAGTAACTGTTATATCTCAGAAATGGTTCTACCTGTCTGGGATGAATCAGAAATAAATAAAATTTCCTTTCCCACAACAGGAATAGAAACAGTATTCAATAAATTCTTAACATATATTAATCTATACCATGAGCATTCCCTATCCTCATTTGTGATATATTGGTGAATTTAATACAAATGAAATATTTATTTACTATGCTGTGAAGCAATTGAAAAAGTCTCAGTGTCATATTTTTAATGTTTGCTTTTCTTTTATTTAATGGATAATAGCAATGCTTTCCCATAGGTTACTTACGTTTTACCCTGAATTTACTTATACTTTACTCTAATTTTAACTTTTGAAAAGTAGTCACCATGAGAGGATGAGATATACAGTATCTGATTTATCTTAATATACTCCAAGTGAATTTTCAATTAATATTTATGACCTCAGTGACTGAATGAGAAAATGAATCCTTTCTCAATATTGTTTCTGCACCATTTTGGACATAAAGGAAATTAGAATAATTTTTTTGGTTTGGATTTTGAATGGCTTGTCATAAGAAAGATTTTATCTAATATGGGATATGATAAAACACATCATGGTTACATTTTTATGACTCAAACCAATGAGTATTCTTTCAAAAGTGTTCTATAATTTAGGAATATTTCAGGGATTTTAAAATTTAATATTAAGTTTTTAATTTACATACAGAAGATAATCACCATGCTAACGAGGACTTTTGTGTATTTTAATACTGCATCATAGGTAATTTGAGATAATTCAAGTCCATGGAGTACATTCAATAAATACATATTTAGTAAGTACATTAATTAAGAGACGGGTTATAATGCCACCATAAATACTCTTTCATATTCAGAATTCTAGTCAAATCTTGTAATTTTGTCTTTTAAACTTAAGAATAAATTGCAATTTCACTACCAATTAATTGCTAATTTATATTTAACTACTATGCCTATGGTATAAATGATAATTTATATTTCAAACTGAGATAAAATGGGGCATGACACGCTATATAGGCTACATAATATAATTACACAAATTTATTAAAAAATCCTTTAAATGTAAAGTTTGTACATGATTTTAATGTTTAATTATAACACATAAGTCAGTTCTTAAGCATGGAAAAGATTTCTAGTATAAATTTATCATGATTTTGTGATATTTACATATATTATATGTTCCTAATCATGTTACACCCACCTTGTGGCCAGTTAAATAATATCCCAATATAATTTCAGCAACACTAACTGAATTTATGATAGATGATTGAATTTTGGAAGAAAGAGAAGGTAGAGATTTATTACATGATTTTATCTGGCTGTGGTGCTCCACATGTGTAACGTAACCCTCAAATATCATCTTAACTTACATTTATAAATGATATTTTTCTTTTCATTTCAAGTAAACCAAAATATATTGAGAAAAGACAACTATGTGTTCTTCTTTTTGTAACTACCATAATTTTGGAAGCATCAGGAATATTTTCTGTATTAGAGATTGAAAGCCAATCCCCTAAAGTTATTGCAACCAAGGTGTTGATATATTCTGTTTTTCTACAATAAAAATATCTCCTTCTCTCCATGGATTATACACTGACTCTTCTTGCTATGCCAGAGCAAATGGAGAATTCTTTTTATGGTGTATTGTTGCTATTGGTGTGTCTTTTGCACTATCAATACTGCGTTATTTAAAAATCAATACAAAGAGAATTAAATATTTAGTGGAAAAGAAATGATCTGGACTTTTATTTATTCGTTTCATTGTTTCACCAGATGTAAGGGGAAGGGAACTTTGTTTTTGGAGATCAAAGTAATGTATTATTTGCAATAAATCCATTAAAGCAATGAGAGGTAGGGCTGGAGGCTCTTCTCCCATGGTAGAGCCTGCTACTTTATTATACTATGATGAGGTATTTATTTTGGGGCAGATCACATTTCCACATTTGTAAATGAATCTGTGTAATTACATGCACTTGAATCTTCCATTTACCAAAGTGTGATATTACACACAACATTCATGTAAAATTAACTCATATTTAGTTAGGTGAGGTGTTCATATTGTAATACTCTGCATTCATGAGGCTGAGGCAGGAGAATTTCTGCAAATTTAGGCTGGTATGGGTGTTATGGTTTGTGTTGAGATGTCTCCCCAAAGCCTCATATTGACATGGAGGCACAGGCATTTTGGAGGTAGCTGAATCTAAAGTTGTGATTGGTTAATTGTCTATGTCTAGGATTTATAATGTGCGTGCTATGCTAGTCCTTGGTTGTGTAGCCTCCCTACACTATAAGGGAGGAAAAGAGACTTGCTCCTCCCCTTTTTGCTGCTGTTACTTTTGGTGTCTTCTGCCCCCATGAACAGTTGCGCTTCCTCTTTGGAGCACACTGATTATGGAATGAAACTTCTACAAACTGAGCTAAATAAACCTTTCCTTCTTAAATTTTGGGCACTGTGTATTTCATCTCAGCAACAAAAGAAAAGTAACTCACTGGGTTATGTAGTGTGTACAAGGCTAACGTGAGCTACTTTACATAGCAAAATCCAGTTTCAAAAACCAAACCAAACCGAACCAAACCTAAACAAAACAAACTTAGCATTTAATTACAAGTTTTTTAAAAAGATACTATTATGAGACACTTAGGACAAAATAAGAAGTTGTTTCCACACTGACTATTGGCTCATTCTTCATAGTTTCCATGATCTGTCTGTGCTGTTGATTAGCTTTGTAAACCCTCTTTAACTTGTCTTTGTCGTTTCTAAGGCACAGAAAATTATACTATCATCATAATAAAAGGTTAAGGCAAAGTGCTTAGATCAGGACCTTACCCTACCAATTAATCAATAAATGTTAGTGATAACACCGATAACTGTAATAAGAATATTCTTAGGTTGCCTCTGACATTGAGTCCTTCTGCATCTGAACACAGGACAATCTGTCATAGTCACTCATAAGTGTTAATTCATTCATAAATTTGTTAGTGATTTAAAATATTATCTAACTCAAGAAAATTATTTTGGAAATAAAAACTGGCAAAACTGGATATGATCTCATACTAAATAATATGAACAGTTTGAAGAAATGGGTCCTTATAAACCAGTGGTACACTACATAGAGGAATTTGATAATTTTATGGTCCTACCAAGAAAAACAGTTAAAGAAGAGGTAAATAAAGATGATAGCTCATATGATAGCTCATAAAAATATTTACAAGTATCTTTGCAGAACCGAGAAATCACTGGGTTAATTACAAAGATAAATTACTTATATTTGATTTGATTTTTTAAACCCTTCTTTAGATTTATATGATAAGAATTCCTCTCACATGATAAGAAACATGATGCTTTTTACAATATAATCATGTATTAAAATAACTTCACAAATGATAAGACCTAAAGATTAGTTTTTCCATACAAACATTTGCGCAGTTTTGGTTGAACATGTCTCATTAATGCAACAAATATTCACTGAAATAAAAAGAATAGAGAGATACTATTCTTCATATTTAGGAAAATTAAAAGTAATGGTATAAAAGAGATATATTAACATAGGTAACACTCATTAACCACAATGTACACGTGCATTGTTTTAAGTGTGACATGGATCAGTCCATTTAATCTCAAAACGACTACCTCATTCTACATACAAAAAGTCAAAGAATAGTGTCTTTTAACTGAGGACTGGGAAGCAAGTAACTATGAATGATAACCAAACACCCGTAAATGTCATACTAACCTAGACATGAACAGCCTAAGTAGAGAGAAGAAAACATCACACTGAAAGTAGAATGGATAGTAAAAGAATAGAAGCTGAGTTGATGTAAAGATGAACACAGACGAGGTCAGGTGCCCACTCCAAAAGGACCGTAAAGTCTCTGCTTTCTTCTATCAAATGCATCAGGTAGAAGGGATTTAGCATTTTTTCCTATTGGGATATTACTGGGGTTAAGGTCTTGAAGTTCTTTTTTCTAATTTCAGTGACAGGCATTTTCTAAGCCCTGAGCACTGTAACACTTCTAGAAGATAATTCTGGAGTAATGATTAATAATCTATCTTTCTCACTTATGACATTCAAAACCAAAGTGGAGAATAAGGCCACAGTATTACTGTTCAGTGGTGAATGAAATTTACATAAATTATGTAAAATGTTCATTTTCATTTGGTTTTCTTTTATATTTATAATTATAAGTTGTGAAGTAATTTATTCTGCCAATAAATATTCCATTCTGTCTTCAATAGCAGAATCAGATGGATGGGCAGAAGAATTACATTAAAAATAATACCGACATGGTCTTACATGCGAAATACATTTTTAAAGTTGAAATGCAAATAAGCATCATTACTGTATTTCCTTTTCATCAGCTTTAATAACATGCATGTCCTTCTCTATTTCATTGATATTCTGCCCAGATATTTTCTCAGATTAAAGAAGGACAGAGGGGTCAAGGAATCACAAGTTAAAGTCATTTATTTTAATTTAAAGGATCAATAATTTATAGAATTAAACACACTAACAGGGAAACTATGGCTGAAAATAGCTAGCTCCTGTTTTTCAGTATCCACTGGGAGAAATCTCTGCCTTTCTTCACCGGCCTGAGTTTCTATTGTCCCCATATTGCAAACTCTGCTTTACTTTATGTTCCCTTTGTATTAAAATTCAAAACCTTTTACTGTACTTAAGTATCTAGTTTTCCCTGCTATTGCTTAGCCAGGTTCATTTTGTTTACAAAGATCTCTTCCTTTCTTCTGGTACATTGAAAAAAATATGTCTAATCTTTCATTTGTTAGGCAAAGTAAAAATAAAACTTTACATTTTCATATGCATTTTAAATATTTTCAGTGCTAGACTATTTGGCCTAAATTCTTATGATCTACTTTCAAATTAAGAAAAACATAGAAACATTATCTATCATTTTATTTTTAATCATCTGTGTTCTCTTAGAATGAATGATAATATAGTCCAATGTAAAGTAGCTTACATACAAGCCTACATATGTTTGCATTAGAGCATTTTTAGAAAGAAAGCAACCCAGACACAGAAATAATTTGAGCTCTTAGGCAAGAGTTATACTTTGATGCAATATATAATTGTAACCCAATTACAAAACCCGAAAAACATAAATTTGATTCTAATAGATAATGTGTGAGTTAGCCAAATCTCTACTGTATGCTAAAATACTGTGTAAAGTTTTAGTCAAGAACTCTTGAAAATGGAATCTGTGACATGCATGTAATACTATTTCACTTCCATGGAAAACATGAAAATAAATTGTCATTGTTTATAACTTACCATCAGAAAGTGTAACCACTGTTATATCATCGGTAGATACTCCTGGCCCATAGCGATTATAAGCTAGGAATCGAAGAGTATATTCCGTGAATTTTTTCAGACCTTCCAGTTTATAAGATAGTCCATCAACTTCTATATTCTGGAGACATAAAATGCCAAACTGTTACTAAGGAAGCACATTTAAGCAGAAACAGCAGCCATTCTGTGCAATCAGTGAATTAGAGAGTAGCTTCTTGGTCACATAACTGCCCACTAGCTTTATAATGAGTTGTTGTAAAATCTTACTTGTGTTACATATTCCCTCTCTAGAGCCCTAAATACTCTGCAGACTCCTTGTAAAATAGCCACAGACTATTTTTATACTCATTAAGTTCTAATTTTCTTAACACCACCCAAGGCATAGAATGGCAGGGGCTTTTCAACCCACACCAAAACCTTCACAGGCAGAAGTCAACTTGCAATCCTTGCTAACACAAAATTTACTCCTGTGCTTCAAATGGAATAATAGGATAGAAAAATTCACCCAGAAACTATAGAATTATTTCTTTGCTTGCAGACATTGTCAGATACTTTGCCACAATTTTGTTTCCAAAAATATTGTGAGGGAGGTTGAAATTATTCTCAGATTCACTTCACAACCGCAGGCAAGGAAGCCCTGAAGGTGAAGGTCATCAAGGAAACAGATCCAGCAACTGCTAGAAGACCTCTCGTTAAGCTCTACATGGTGGTTCCCACCCTAACACTTAGCCAGGATGCTGTTGCTTTTCAACTTATTTAAATGGATTTATAAAATGTGTTATGGAAGGGCTGAAATATACAGAAAAGAAAATAGAATCAGTAGTTGAAGAACCAGTAGTTAAAAAATCAAAGTTAAAAATACCTTGGAAACAGCAAAGAAAAAAGCAAGAATAGATAGGAGCAGCTCATTAATGTCTCATCATATAGCTTAGGAATGGACTTCGACTATTTTGGGATAGCATTATGGAAAAATACTTTAAAGATATTCTGTCATGTCATTTATGAAGAAATATGAATAATACATTATGTTTGGTAACCATCACAAAACACAGAACTGATATCCTAAGCCCACTTTCCTAGCAACTTAGCTATGTATATCTTCCACATAAACTTAAGAGTCTGAAAGTAAATATCTTCATAGTCATATATGTCACAAAGTAAAAATGCCAAGTTTCATTTACCTTTAAAGCCTATTAACTCTTCACATGAACAATTGATTTTTTAGCTTCTATGCTAATCACTCTTTAGAAGCAAAAGGACCAAAGGCTTCCTTCTACAAAATAGTTCTATGAAGATAGTGAAAACCATAGATCAGAGTCTGATGGTGAGGAGAGGAGAGAATTACTATGAAACATAGGAGAATGAAAAAGCAGTTTGATTAAGGCCATTTCATATAAAGATAAATACCTCTTAGGAGAAGGATTGAAAGTGTAAATGCATCTGAAACCAAGTAGGTTAATAGAAATGTGGTTACTGACTCATGCTCAAGCTTAAGCCAAAACTTGGCATGATTTCTACTGACTTAACTTCCTTGTCTGCTAGCCTTTTTCACCGCCAGAATTCAAGTAAACTGCTTAACATTTCTAATAACAAGTACTTTATAACTAGTCAGATACTCAGTAAATGTGCTAAATTCGGAACTGTATCAGATCTGCTCCTCATTCTCCAGCACGAGCATTGCCCCGTAGATGAAAGCTGTGTACCCCACTCCCTTACCTACCTGTTCTTTTCCTGTAGATGCCTCAGTGCAGAACAATCTGTAACCTTGGACTGGACCATTTGCATAGGCAGGGGGTTCCCAGGTGATAAGAATTGAGGTAGGTGAGGTAGATACAGCGTGCAGGTTTTCTACTGGCCCTGGAACTTGCACTGTGTACAAAAGAAATTGATTAAGATGAGAAAGTTTGATTTTCTAGAGCCAAACTACATCTTTTAGGACTTGAAGAAATAAGCAAGATACACTATTTTTAGATCCAAATAAAATATCAATATAAAAACATAACAAAATAATGAAACGCTGAAAATTTAAACTCATTTATGAGAAAGCTTATATTCATTGAATTTCTTCTTTCATTTTACAGTTAAAAAGACTGGCCAAAGTGTACAAGTGAATAGGATAATGACAGAAAAGAATGGAAATCTGAATCTAAATGTATAGCTTGTGAAGTTCTCCATTCCACCAGTATACCACTGGTGTTGTTAAAAACTTCAGAATAATAAAATACGATTTGAGTTTTTGAATATTTGGTTCACTTTAATTCCAATAGATAGTACAGTTATATATAACATATCACACTGTCTTTAATTTAGTCAGCAATTTAATATCTTGCCTAATTTGGGATCCTTTAAATAACATTTAGGATTCCATTTTTAATTTCACTTTGTAGTGTTCTATCTCATAACAAATACTTTATGTAATCAAGAGTATGCAACATGCTTGTTAATGTAACTAGCACAGGTCCACAGTCACTAAATCAAAACTCTTCTGTCCATGTATTCATATGACTCAGGAATGTTTACTTTTTATTCTTTAAGAGCCAATAATTCTATTTTTGTATCTACTCTCTCAATGCAAACATAGATTGCTTTTAAAAGCTCTAATTCATTAGAGCCCTGCATTATTTTACTGTTCAAAATGTTCTAGATTTGTCAGGTGCTCTTTATTTGGTTGCTCTATTCTTAATGTCCTGTCCTTTTGTTTACTGGAGCATTTCTTTTTATTCTGACTTATCTGGATCCCATTCTTTTGAGGCAAGGATATTTCTGCAAGGATTTCTGGCTTTTCTTTTTAAACAGGCAATAGGGTTAAAGACAAAGATTGGAATGCTAAGTGTGTTAATTTGTTCCTTATCAAAGTTTCTGTTTTTAAGTCTTTTTGGTTAACAGAGCTAAGAAACATTCACGCAAAATAGATACAAAATATATACAAATTATATACATAATGTAAATATATTTTAATATGTATATTTTTTAATGTAAGCATTTTCATGTATATTCCGATCCATCTCTAAAATGTTTGGTCTTGCTTTTTCATTCCTCTGTGCTATGTTCTTTCTCCCACAACAAAAAATCTTGTTTCAAAAGAGCTATATTTGGCAAATACATTAAGAATATCTCCATCTCGGTGCTTTTCCATAAAGAATATTTTTTTTTCTGACAAAATATGTAAAAGGAAACTTTAGAAGACAATATTGAACAACAGGAGATCTCATGTTGTGTCATAGTTTATAGTGACATAATTAGATTTGTATTATAGTAGTTAGACATTTTGCTTCATGACAAAACAAAGCCAAAAGAAAACCCAATAATTTGTCTACTAATATCACTCAACTGTATTGCCACAGAATAGTATTTTAATCAACAACAAACAAAAACAATTTTTTTCTCTTTAATGATTATGCACAGTAACAATGCAAGCATTCTAAGAAGGAATATTTCTAATATGAAATCTGTTATTCCTCAAAGGAAAGAAGACAGAGGTGTGATATCCTTAAAACCCAGGGATTTTCTTAAAATACTCATAAACACTGAATGCAAGGTATCCAAGATTTTGAGTTCATACAGTGCAGACAGGTGTGGTCCTGTGGTGTATGAATTATTAACCAAATACATTCCTTTCTGCTCTCTCGTGGTCAAATTAAAGTAATACTGGATGATAAGAACATGACTTAGTCTGGGGGCTAAGACCCAGGTCTTAACATGACTAAATTCACTCCTGCTGTGATAGGTAATGCAGCCAAGAATGGGAATAGAGCTTGTTTCTTTTTTTCTAGAGAATTCAAAGAGGACTGGGAGCATCATATGTGTCTGGGAGGAGGAGAAAGGAAGCAATATTTTGGAAGTTTCTCTTTATCCATCCCATCTGAGAAAAACAATGATGGGAACCGATTTAAATAGACTCCAAGAATACAAAGACAAAAGAAGAAAATAGATTAACACCTCATCAGCTCCATCATTTGCATTGTAGGAGGAAACTTTACCATGGAGGAGAGTCCATGCTACTGAGAGTTTCCTGAAGCTACACGTGTGATGGGAAAGAGAAGCTCTCAATGGTTCATCTACTTGGCATGAGCAAATGAGATCTGCAAGAGCATGTTGGAACACTGTCCACAGGGCAGGGGCTAAGCATGGTGGGGAAAGGAAGGGCATGCACAGCTTACCAATGATACTTCAAAGATTACTGAGGTTGGGAACTTGCAACAATCAGATGTGCCTACTACACATACACTTCTAATAGATGTTGGTGGGAAAATACACTCTAAGAATATTTGTAGCTCAAGGTGGTATTCCCATATGAACAAACCTTAGATCATATTCTCTGCCCTGCTAAGCCCTGCCACTTGAGCTAAATACCTTGAGTTTTCCAGAAAAAAATGATCAGAACATTCCATTTATTATATCAAATAATAAGATCAACTATCTTCTCCATGGACAATACTTGTTACACAGGGAGCATTCAACAAGCTCATGTCAAATGAAGGATTTCATGAACAATTACCAAATTTACCATAAATCATAAACCTAAAGCACACTATGTATTGTAAACTATTTGACTGCACTGATTCTGCATTGTTACAATAAATGATTCAAAGAGTGTTTTCATAATACACCTGGTTAGAACTAAAGTTAGTACATGCATCCATGTGTATTTCATACAAGTGGGCCTGTGTGACTTTTTTCTACCTTGTAGCACCTTTATATATATATATATATATATATATATATATATATATATAGTATAACTGTTGTTGATTAAAGAATACCAGGCAGCAAGTATCCTATCCTTGGATTCAGTTAATGATAACCAATAATACTAACCCTAATCTTCTGTTCAGCAACCATATTTGTATGCCTTCTTAATGATCATTGGCCACTATTATAGAAAAGTGCTGGGACAGAACAGGAAGCAACACCTTCTCCTTTACGAGTCAGGTGGTAGGTAGGCAGGGAGAGATGATCCCCAACCCAACTCTAGACAATAGCTGATTTGAAGGCATGCAGCCTGAGATGATAGCAACTAAAATAAAGAATTTAATGCTTGTATTGTTTGACTTTGCAGACCTAAAGCCAGTAGTCTGAGCAACTATTTAGAGGATAACAATGTATAATATAGTAACTATTGTGAATTTCCTACTTCCTTGTTTTTGAGGTCCAATATCATTCTTGTTGGTTTTTTTATTCCCTTTAAAATAAAATTTTAAAAAAAGAAAATGAAAAGTGAGTGTTTGGGTTCCAGAAGGATTTCAAACAGAGATGATAAATTACAACAAATTCATCTTTAGAAATGAAAAGCAACGGAGTACTTAATTCAAGTATTCATAAACAGTGTATGTGTTTTGAGCAACTGAGAGCTAATCCCTATTCTCTTTGTAGTGGTCAAGTTTCCAGATGCCTTTTATTCCTGAAAAGAATTGCTTTTCTGTATCAAATTGCCTCCTATTTTAAAATTATCTTAAAATATTATTTTATGATTTGATAATATAAGTAGAATTTAATGTCCTCAGATATTAAAATAAAAATTTTATACTCCTATATTCATTTGAATATATAAGAATAAAAATATCAAATTACTACCTATAAATATTATTGAGGTCATATCAGTGCTTTGTTCTACAGAAACTATTACCTATGTGTGGCATATGCTTTATAACATATTTCAGTATGTCAATATTATTTGTTTCAATTAAGCTTTTCCATTATTAATCTTCTTCACTAAAGTGCTATAAATTCCACTTCATAAATTTCCTAGTATTTTCATTTTAAACTAACAATAAACTATAATTTTATGTTAAAGTATGTATGTGAGTATGAGTATATATATGTATACATACATGTAATTCATATTACATACTTGTGCATGTATTTTAAAGAATACCTACAAAATGTCTAAGGACTTTTACATATGCAAACTTTTACATAGGTGATGCATCACATGCATATAAGCTGCAAATGACAGCGAAAGAAACAGGGAGACTCACAGATGTTCAACTACATGAATTAGCTGTGAAATCAATAAAGTTAACAGCTTCTGCCTTCCATTTCATTGCATTTTTCTATGTCAGTTGAGAAACTTAATGGGCTTAACTGTTCATCATTTCTAAGATGTCTTTAATCGTCTCCACTGATGCCCTCAGTTGGACAATAATTTTGTGGAAAACTGCATCTAATTTCTCTCCATTTCCATCCATGTTACCAATTTCTGCAAGGAACAAAATTTCAGAATAGATGAATAACCTATGTAAGTAATTCATCAATCAATGTCAGGCTAGTCAACTACCTTTTTAAATTTAAGATTTTATTACAGTAGAAATTCATGGTAGCACCTGTGTCTAAGAATGAAATTAAATAGTTATGTTGGAGCAAATAAGATGTAATACATGTCATTATTTGCCCTGAAATGATAATTTTGACCATATCTAATATATATATATATATATATATATATATATATATATATATAGATATATAATATTTATCTTATATATACTTGTGAAATAGGTATCTATTTTTTAATTAAAGAATCTATAAAGGCATTTGAATTAATGTCAGTTAATGTGCCAAATAGTTTAGGTTTCACAACATGTTACTGTTTCTGATATCATGATGTAATGCAGCACTCATAAATTAATCTTTTTGTTTTTATTTAAATATATATCTAACCACTTGCCATTTGACTTCTAAAAACCTAAATTATGATTTATCAAATGTATGTTTCTCAGAGTTTTAAAAGTTTAAATACACCCTTCCAGGAAAGAATGTCAGTATGAGGATTTCAAAGAAAAGCTTTAGAAAGATCAACACATGACACTATCTTAATAATACTGAGTGAAGGTAACATAACTTAGTCATTAGACTGATATTTCTCAGCT